TCCCCTCCCCTCCCCCATCCCCTCCCCTCCCGTCCCCTCCCCTCCCCCATCCCCTCCCCTGTCACCTTATATCTCACTTTAATGCACATTGCACTATGTCAGTGTACTAACTTTGACAACGGCTCTCATAATTTCAACCACATTCAGATCAAGGGTTGCAGCTTGGTTCCCCCTCACTCTTCTCACCTTCCCCACACAGGATATTGGCTGGGCACAGCCACCGGTTTATTGCAGATGGAGACCACATGCAGTGTATTTGTTGATCAGAGCATCACTCACCTGCCTCTGGTTACTGGAGGAGCCTATTACAAGATGTCTTGGGGCTGGGGTAGCTGTGGAGCAAGGCCTACGGAGAAGCTTCAGTTCTTCCAAAATGGCTGGGTGCCAGATGACTTCAGACTGTCCTCCTCCTACTGACACCTTGGGGTCTGTTCCTGTTGTTGTTTTCCTCTGCATATTTGCTGATGGCTGGTGGCTTCCCCTCTACTGGTATACACCCCTCATGAAGTACTCTTCAGGAACTCTTACTGCTGGAACACTGCTATCCCCTGCACACCCCACCCCTGCCCTCGGCCCCAGTACCTCTAGCCCCCAGGAGAAAGCCTGGTAAAGCAGGACAAACTTGGGGTTGAAATCAGACAGCGCATACTTTCTGTATTTCGTTTTTTGTTTGTTTGATTTTTCTTTGGAGACAGGGTCTCACTCTGTTGCCCAGGCTGGAATGCAGTAGCTGATCATTGCTTATTGTAACCGCAAACTCTTGTGCTCAAGCAATCTCCTTGCCTCAGCCACCTGAGTAGCTGGGACTACAGGTGCATGCCACCATGCCTGGCTATGTTTTAACAAAATGTTTTCTATTGAATGTGGCTTTTGTGGCAGATTTTTTTTTTTTTCCTAAAGAAGGGATCTCACTGTGTTGCATAGGCTGGTCTCAAACTCCTAGCCTTAAGTGGTCCTCTCACCTTGGCCTCCCAAAGTGCTGGGATTACAGGTGTGAGCTACCTCACCCAACCCTTTCTGTATGTCTTTTTCTTTTTGAGATGGAGTCTCACTCTGTTGCCCAGGCTGGAGTGCAGTGGCACAATCTTGGCTCACTGCAACCTCTGCCTCCCGGGTTCAAGTGATTTCTGGCTAAATTTTGTATTTTTAGTGGAGATGGCGTTTCCCCTTGTTGGCCAGGCTGGTCTCGAACTCCTCATCTCAAATGATCCACCTGCCTTGGCCTCCCAAAGTGCTAGGATTACAGGCATGAGCCACTGCACCTGGCACTTTTCTGTATGCCTTTGAACAAATTATTAACTATTTTTCACCTTGGTTTCCTTTCTGGAAACGGGGCTGAGAATACCTAACTCCAAGGATACTTCAAAAGATTAAATGAGGCAATCAGTAAATTGCCCAATACCATTTCTGGCACAAAGTAGATACTTGGAAAACAATTCCTTTCCTTTCTTTCCCCAAATGTCAAGTTGCCAGCATTTCTTCCCTCAATGGCTTCCCCTCCCAGTAGAGGTGTTCCTCGTATCTGAGAGTTAGGAGGCATGGCGGTGGGAGAGGGGGAGTTGGTGATTTTCTGTGAGCTGTCAGACACTGTCCTAGACACTATGCACATTATTTCACTTATTAGGAAGAAGCACAGAAAATGTTAATGACTCAGACCTGCCCTGAGCTCTCCTGCCCTCAGTGCAGTGGGCTTCAGGCACTCAGCCCCATGCTCTGTCCTTCACTGGATTTCTGTCTCTCAGAGCCTGGCCAAGGAGCGGGATGTGGTCCTTTCTTCTCCCTTCCTGGCTGTCTTGTCAGGCCAGCACACATACTCCTTTTCAAAGAGTTTCACAGACAGGCTTAGAAAGGAAGTGACAAAGCTTCAGAATCTTACAGGATGATGTGGTTGTAGTCTGGATGCTGCCCTTTTTTGAGCTCATCCTGGGAAGCCCCTTGGCTTCTTGCCTATTACTTCCATTCTCAGGGATGGGGGTCCCAGTTCCCTGCTTCCCCCCTATGCTGCTTCCCCTTCTTTCTAATGTTCAGGTTAGAATATTAGGGTCCTTAGAAACTTCCAAGCATTCATTGCATTTTTGAGGCTCTCCAGCTTGCATGAAAAAGTCCCTTTGGGGAATTTCCTCAAATTAGGGTTTGGAAATTCTGCACCACAGTCATTCCTTTTAGTGTCAGCTTTGGGTGGTGAAAAGAGCAAGGAACTGGGAATTGAGAGACCTAAGCTTTAATGCTATTGCAGCTCCAAACCCATTTGTTAGATTTTGGTGAACCACTTGCCCTTTGTAGGTCCAAGTTTCCTCATCTGTGAAATGAAGTTCTGACAATGTTATTTATTTCCTTCTCAGTTAAAAGACAGAAAAGTATAGGCAGGGTGTGGTGACACACCTATAATTCCAGCACTTTGGGAGAGTGAGGTGGGTGGATCACTTGAGGTCAGGAGTTTGAGACCAGCCTGGCCAATGTGGTGAAACCCCATCTATACTAAAAGTACAAAAAATTAGCCAGGCATGGTGGCAGGTGCCTATAATCCCAGCTACTCAGGAGGCTGGGGCAGGAGTATCGCTTGAACCCGGGAGGCAGAGGTTGCAGTGAGTGGAGATCACACCATAGCACTCCAGCCTGGGCGGCAAGAGTGAAACTGTCTCAAAACAAACAAACAAAAAAAAAAAAAAAAAAAAAACCAAATTAAAAAAGAGAGAAAAGTAAAGAATTTCTAGTATACTGGAGTGAGATTTGGGGGTAAGTGTCCTGTTTGCCCCTAAAATTAGTTCACATTACTCCTCCTATGAGTAAGGCTGAGAGGTTATGATCCCTTCTTTCCCTCTTATCCATTAAAGGCCCGGGACTCACTTTACCACTTAGTTCATGAAATTCTCCTGTGAGCAGCACTGCACTCCTCCATTTACTCACTCATTCCTTCACTCCTTCCTGTCCCGCACACGTCTGTTCATCTATTCCTTCACAGGCGGGGCGCGGTGGCTCATGCTTGTAATCCCAGCACTTTGGGAGGCCAACGTGGGTGGACTGCCTAAGGTCAGGAGTTCGAGACCAGTCTGGCCAACATGGTGAAACCCTGTCTTTAAGAAAAAAAAAAACAAACAACAACAAAAAGAAACCTCTCAGCTATTCCTTCACATTTGCATCTTATGTCTGTTAAAATCCTTTGTTCATGGTCAGGCACAGTGACTCATGCACCTGTGGTCCTGGCTACTCAGGAGGCTAAGGTAGAAGGATCACTTGGACCTGGGAGGTTGAAACCCCCCATGAATGAGCCATGATCACACCACTGTACTCTAGCCTGGATGACAGAGCAAGACCCTGTCTCAGGGAAAAAAAAATTCTTTGTTCATAAGTGGAGAATACTTTTGTGGACTGGGAGTGTGGAAAAAAATACTCAACATGCATTTTTCCTGTTCTCTTATACCATAACAACACACAAGATTTCCGTGACCAAATATCTAGGGGTTTCTTCCCACACAACAAGTAAGCAATCAGTTCTGCAGTGGACACCAGCCGGGTGTCGTCTGCCAGTTAAATCAATTGTGACACCAGTCTACCTGGAAATAGCCTTAGAAACCACAGGTTGAGGAATCAGTTCCACAGAGCTGCTCCCTCCTTCTTACCAGTCATGAGTCTGGGCTTCCAGAATGTCTGACCAACCAGCTTCAAGTTGGGGTTACCATGATCCACCCTCTTTGGGTTTGATTAATTTGCTGGAGGAGCTCTCAGAACTCAGGGAAACACTTACATTTAAACAGCCAGATGAAAAGATACACAAGGCAAGGCAAGATCTGGAAGAGCTTCTGTTCCTCTGGGGTTGGGGTGCACCACTCGCCCAGCACGTGGATGAGTTCTCCTTCAACTTCCTGTCAGCCTCGACGTGTTCTGCTCTCTGGAAGCTCTCTGAACCTTGTTTTCCTGAGCCTTTTATAAAGTTCACTGGATAAGCATGGACAACCATGTTGAAATGTAATTGGGCAAAAAGGATGTGATTTAATACTAATAGAGCGAGGCAGGAACCCAGCAGGGCCTGTCTGCTCAGATTTTTTTCGGCATTCCTTCCTCCAGGGTATGGGGCAGGGCCCTCTCTGGAAGGAGGGTCTTATGACCCACAATCAGATTAGAGTCCTGCCTTGGGCAGGCAAAAGGAAGGCAGGAGAGGTCAGAGAGAGAAATTCTGCTTCCTGAAGCCTGCTTCTAAGGCCTAAAGTGCCCCAACATTATAACAGAAGACTGTAAGGGCAATGAGTTATAAGCCAGGAACTTGGATGAAAACCTATGTACATTATATATATGTATACACACACACACACACACACACACACACACATAATTATATCACACTAACTTAATCAGGAAAGTAATGTATTGGGGGTAATGTTGAGTAGCTCATAGAATGGGTAGGACATTGGAGAACTTGGCTTGGAAAAATGATAAGTGAGAAACCAGAAACACTCTGGGTGTGTGGGCAGCAGGAACTACTTGGCAGTGCCTTCAGGGTGCCACTGTTGATATAAATGTACCCCAGCTAATTTTCCTATCCTCATCGCACTCTACTAAGGATTCACAGTCCTAGGAGAGGGAGTATGACCAGCCAAGCTTGTGTCATTTACATGCTTCTTGGCTAGGAGAATAGAGTCCCTGATATGTTATACCACTGAGACTGTATACCCTGGAAAGAAGTAATTACATAAAACAATGACAAGATGATATTTTGAAGGGGGAATGGATGCTATTAGAAAAATAAAAAAAGGGGCCGGGCACGGTGGCTCATGCCTGTAATCCCAGCACTTTGGGAGGCCGAGGTGGGTGGATCACGAGGCCAAGAGATCGAGACCATCCTGGTCAACATGGTGAAACCCCGTCTCTACTAAAAATACAAACAATTAGCTGGGCATGGTGGCGTGTGCCTGTAATCCCAGCTACTCAGGAGACT